CTTATGCTCGAGAAAGGGGAGAGACGAACTGATTACCTTAATATAGCTTCTGACTCGTGTGGGTGGCCTCAACAAACAGCCATTACTGGTGAAACCCAAACGCGAATCCGAAAGTCAACCGATGTTCGGGGAATATTACTTGTTTCATGAAAAGATTCGAACGCCTCATCAATTTGAATGGAAACCAAAATGCGTAACGATTCTCAGTGGCAACCACTGACGTCGACCAAATCCTATTCATCTCTTTCAAAAGTGCATTGCCCAGGTGACGACCATTTTCAAAATCCCAATCTCATCATTCACACCCTGATTGAGGTTTCCTTTGAACGCGGTTTATAAATTGCCAAGTACTGCATCAGAGTCAGGAGCAGTCTTGGTTCCTAACTCCGCTATCGGAAAGTAAACAGGAAAGGTACCCAACTGTTCACAGTGCCACCTTGCTTGGTAAACATATTAGGTATACTGCCTTAAATAATGTAAACGTGGATACTTCTTAGAAACGGGACAGATGGATGTCAGTTTGTCGCAGGAGGCTGTTGATGACGTCCCAAGCGTGCAGTTGATGAAGCATGGTATCAAGCCTTTCTCGAGATCCTGAAGTTTGTTGCGTTTTCACAAAACCAAAATAAAGGGGTAAGGATGCGATAGTGTTCCAACTTTCTTGATCTCCGCCTCTATTTGTTCGCCAGTGATTCCCCATTGATTTTCTTCTAGAGGTTGGATCGGTCGACATCTCAACATTGCCAATTTGCACGCTTTTTCGATGCAGGAATGAGCCTGAAAGAGTCTATGATCATTCAAAACGCTAACCTTGGGGAATCTTTGAGATAAACGTACATCTTTACTGCTGTAAACCACTAGTCGTTTCCCTATGTCGTGGACGGTGTCAAACTTCGACCCTCCCTTGCGTTGCTGTTCTTCTATGACCTTGAAGCACTGATTTTTCGAGAAATGACATACAATCCAATATAGGTTAGCTGTCGATTACAGGTGCAATAATCATCCAAGTACCTAACCAGAACACATTAAATGCTAACAAGGGTTTCAGGGAGAAAGCGTTCAAAAAGAAACAGCAGACCTACAATACTTCTCTACCAAGCAATCTCTCTAACTGTAAGAAGAATCCCGAGCTGGTTCAGAAGGAAGCTATGAGACGTGATCTCAGGCGGCGAACAGAAAGTTGATCACGTACGTAAAACCACTGTGCGCTTCCGATGTTCTTGAATAAACTCATGACTTGGATACCCTGCTTCTTGTCTGCTGAGTCATACTGAGTTACTCATTCCATCTGCTCCTTCATAAACTGTAGGAGTATCCATGCACGCGTTCGCGGCTGATGGCATCCTCCATAATGGCTTAGTCAAAAGCATAAATCGGATAGACTGCGTTTCTCTCGATATATAAGGTTTATATAAAGTAACAACTTTGTGCTTGTGTTTGTTTGTCGGTTTCGCTTCAATCCGCAAAAGTCGCGTGGGCGCAACGACGATTGTGAAATGACACGTGGGCGCATGTTCTCATGGGTAAGGAACATGTTATGAAATGGGAAGTCTATTTATCAACTCATACCGTTCATAATGATATTCTTAATGAATACCGATACTACCCATGGAAATGTTTCTATATTCTTCTTGTATAAGCTGTGAAAAGCGTTTGTGGTTATGTGATGCACGGCTAACGTGCGCAGCCCAACTGGTAATGCTTAAGAGGCTGGTTAAGAGTATACATCGCTTTGCTCTTCTTATAGCAGCTTGTTTGTGAAAGACTGCGCGTTCGATGTTTGTAGCTGGAAAGTCATCGTTTTGTCTGTGAGCGTGCAAATTTTTCAGCTGAAGAGAACGATGGAAGGTTGCGGTCTCCACTCAAGCGGGTTGGAAACCTTCTGCATTTTTTGGCCCTACACTGTCTGTTGAGATCGGAATTGAAGCGACATTTTTGCATGCTATAGGAACGGTATTGAAGCTTTCGTTTGATAATCCGCTTCACTAACAACTTCAACAATTTCTGCTCCTTCATCGCCTTTTTTATGGTTCACTCAGGACTGCGATCGACTCGCAAACGGGCTAGTTTGATAGTCATTTATT